CTAGCACAAAAATCATGTGATAACCTAATTCTTGTTGCCTAATCAAATAGATAGCTGAAATTTGGGTTCTTTTCTAGATGTGCTACATTTTCAGAGCAGCGAGATGGAATTGCAGAATGAATCAGATCGCCTTCTGATGGCAAAGATGGTGATCAAAATGGCCGACATCAACAGTCCCACCAAGCCCTATTCACTTCATCGGCAGTGGACTGATCGGATCTGTGAGGAGTTCTATGAACAGGTTAGATTCATTCAAGATTATGGCGACATAACAAATGTTTGGACGAGATTCCAGTTGTGTGCAGTCCCGTAGGAGTTGACTACAGAACCCCTGCTGCCAAAGTAACTTCCCGATATGGTCACGGCTACTGGGACGGTCAACTGTTGGACTTTTAAGAAATGCGTTTTATCAGGGAAGGTGCACCCTCTAGAAGGCTCTTGAGACCGCTTCTTGGTACCGCTTCAAGACTGCCAAGCTTAAGCCCCTACTTCTTCCTACTTGCAGCAATTCTCGAGTCTACGACGCTCGATATGGGATTCTTGATGGTCGGAGATTCGTCCCGCTAGTGAATTGCAGAGGCTATCTTCAGAGACTATGCCCGGACGAATTCACTAATACAAAAATGGTAGTAAGTGAAATCCGCCATCACTTTTCCCAAAGCAAAACGCCATCGTTCCCGTTTTCCGAAGATGAGCGAAAATCCTCGATGGATTAAGAGCAATGTTCAAAAAAATCTTAAAAATCTTCCAGAAATTCCCGAAGTATACCCTCTAGTTGGGGGCCAGTCTAAAGTCTCCCCTTGGTCGGACTAAGGCCTGCTCTTTATTGTCCTTGGACGGGCTAAGACCTGCTCTTTATTGTATCCTAACACTCCTAGCAAGATCTAATAGAACGAGCTGCTCTGTTCCCTTGGGAGTTTAAAGGGCAGAATTTAGTCGAGCTATTCCGAAAAAAGTGAAGTCCAAGAAATCGTCAGCAACCACATCTGCGGTTGACATAATTTATTGAATAAGTCCTAGGTTCTGTTAAGGGAAATATTTTTGTCTCTCCGAGTAAATTCTTTCTTTGCTTTCTGAGAAGTCGATATGTGGATATGTGACGTTGCTGTTGCGAGAAATCGTTTAGGAATAGCGTGAGAGTGGAGGTAGTTTTTGTAAAAAGTCCCTCTCAAGTACGAATTAGTCATGCCACCGTCTGATTTTTTGCTCATCTTTTTCTTCGCTCTAAGTTTGCCCTCTCCCAACGGTAGTGTTCGTGTTGCGCAAGGGGTCTTCAGTTGAAAACAGCGATGGTTACACCAAGGTATGCAATTGGGGCTGGTAAGACTCCTTTTAATTACTCAATTTTCCAGCTCATCATCTGATCTGCGCTACTCAAAATTCTAGGCCGTTTGGCCCACTTTATAGGCACGACGTTTCGGAATGAGCCCCTTGAGGCAGTGGTAATTTATCACTTTTCTAGGGTGATGAAGAGCGGAGGCGAGGTATGCCGATCACCCCCTATATGGACCGCGAAGATGCTCAAGTGGCCAAACTTCAAGATTCATTCATCGCTCATGTTGTCAGCCCTCTTGCTTTAGCAATGAATGAGGTATGCACGAGCTTCTTCTAGCTCTTCAATATTCCAGAAGTCATGTCGTTTTTTCAGGCAGGCCTTTTACCCATTCTGCCGGGCTTAGTAGAACCTGAGATGATCATCAATCTCAAGCATAATCATCAAAAGTGGTTGCAAGAGATTGACTCCACGGCTGCAGAGCAAGGTAATGACTTGGAAAAGGTTGATTGATGTGAACAAATCATTTTTAAAAACTTTTTTATAGTGTCCACAATGGGAAATGGGGTGATAGAAGAGGAGAGCTCTACGAGTGACAGTCCTGACAATCGAAAGTGCAGCCCGTCATTAGATTCGGAAGTCGAGGTGAGGCAACTTACTTACTTGATGTCGTGAACAAGTATACCATGACGCTTTCATAAGTTCTACAATAGGTTCAGCGTGGTATCTTCGGTTTTTCATTGGCTCCGGATAAAAAAGGAGAAAGGGGAGAGGACGGAAACAGATGACTAAGACAAAGATTTCAGTGATTCCAACCCTGTATGCCTGATCCCTATGCCACAATCGTCTTCTACACACGTTCCCTCCTTCTCCCTTTTGTCCTACACCTATTCCCGATGCGATCGCCTCTTCTATCATCAGATCTTTTGCACTAAAATGGTGAGCAACCGCATTAACCACTCACACTCACAGCACCCATCGATACTAATACCTCATTTGTTTGTTCGTCCTTGCACAAAGTGATTGTCAAAGTGTGTCGCATCGAGATGCAACTCTCGAAAGGGACAGCAATGTAAAATGAGTTTCTGCCAGGCTTTGCGAACTTATACCCAATCAAGATCGCTTTTGATTTGGTTCTAGTAAGGTGAAAAATATTATTAGAAGAGGTGATCACCACAATTCACTACGACTGATAATTATAGGTCCGATGGAGTGCAGTTTCTTGTTTCGCTGAATATCATTTTATTTTTTTTTCCTAACTAAGTGCTAAAGATATTTATTCTACTTCGAGCCATGATCTGCGTAGATCTTACTTTCACAACCGAATTCGCGTCTCTTCAATTCAATGCGAACTTACCTGTTTTGAAGGCACAGTTCACGATAATTTCGGGTAACCCAGATTATGAAAATGGAAGATAAGTTGGAAAGTAGTGCGATGGAGGTGAAGGAATTGCGTGGATCAGTGTTTCCGAAGTGA